GCAGTGCTGCCAGAGAGTAGGTCAGCGTGTTGTGGTCAGGATCCCCGCTGACCCAGTGGCAGAGCGATCTGCCACTGGTAGGGCCTTGGGCCGGGATGCAGCGGAGCGAGTGGGCCTGGGTCCCCCCTGCCACTCCAATCCTGGGGTGCCAGTCTCCCCCTCTCCAGGCCACGAAGCCAGGGTTTGTCGGCCATCTGCAGGAGATAGGATGCTCGAACCCTTTGCTGCTCGGCCCTGACTACAGGCCTGAGATATTGATTCTTAGTGCCCCACCCTGACTAAGGGTCCGGGCTCCCTGCTGCTCAGCCCTGACCATAGGTCCAAGCCATAGACCTCTATTGCCCTGCCCTGACTCAGGGTCTGGGCCATCTAACTGTGTGTGCTCCTGGGGCCTGACCACAGGCCCGAACCCTAGACTCCTATTGCCCTGATTGAGGGCCCGGGCTATTTAACTGTGTTTGTTGCTCACCCCCTGAAAACAGGCCTGAGCTAGAGACACTTGTCGCCCCGCTAATTCCCCATGGTAGGCGATGGACTGGTGTGTAGGGAGGTGGTGTGGCCTCCCACAGACCCAGACAGAGGGGAACCCCGATGCTAGGCTACTACAGGGAATTGATCTGTTCTGAGCCATGAGGATTTGGAGTGGACCTGGTTGTAATAAAAGTGTGCAGATTGCATGGAATGGGGTAAACCCTTCATCAGCGCACAGCTTGAATGGGATTGGGGAAGAGTGTGTTTGGAAGAATCCTATTCCTAGACCTTCCTGCAGATACTTTGAAAACCACCCCCCCAATGGTGCAACTCCATGGGAGGGCAGGATCTGAGGCTGTGGGGGTATGTGCCTCAGCTCCAGTGAGGTTACTGTGCTCTGATATAGAGGGGCCAGGTGTGGGCTACAGAGAGGGGCTGGAAGCAGTGGGCCTGCCAATGTGTTACCATTGCCTTTCACAGGTCTGGGATGTTCTGGGAACTATCATAGTCTTGGTGCTTCTGTAGGAGGACCTGGGCTTTGGGTGTCTTCCTTCTCCGCATAAACAGACTCTTCCCAGCTACTCGGGTTGTACCCTGATGGACCGATATCCCCCATCCTATACAATTTGTCTTATTAGTCAACCAACAGAATTTGTAATTATATAAACAATACAACAACACTCCAGGTGAAGGGAGCCTCTGTACTATACAAAGCCTGGCAAACCTCCAAAAGTCAATCACCTTGTTCGTTGCTCTAAAAGATCTGCTATAGTTCAAAACAAGAATTCTTTCAGGGAAGTTCTATGGCCTGTGGTATGCAGGAGGGCAGACTTAGGCCTGGTCTACGCAAGGGGGGGATAACCACCCACCCCCCGTCGACTCTGCCTCCGCCTCTTGCCCTGGTGGAGTACCGGAGTTGATGGGAAAGCGCTCAGCGGTCGATTTATCGCATCTAGACTAGACGCGATAAATCGACCCCCGCTGGATCGATCGCTGCCTGTCAATCTAGCAGGTAATGTAGACAAGCCCTAACTGACTTAGAAAAACTGGACGAGCACAAGTCCATGGGACCGAATGCGCTGCATCCGAGGGTGCTAAAGGAGTTGGCGGATGTGATTGCAGAGCCATTGGCCATTATCTTTGAAAACTCATGGTGATCGGGGGAGGTCCCGGATGACTGGAAAAAGGCTAATGTAGTGCCCATCTTTAAAAAAGGGAAGAAGGAGGATCCGGGGAACTACAGGCCAGTCAGCCTCACCTCAGTCCCTGGAAAAATCATGGAGCAGGTCCTCAAGGAATCAATTCTGAAGCACTTAGAGGAGAGGAAAGTGATCAGGAACAGTCAGCATGGATTCACCAAGGGCAAGTCATGCCTAACTAACTTAATTGCCTTCTATGAGGAGATAACTGGGTCTGTGGATGAGGGGAAAGCAGTGGATGTGTTATTCCTTGACATTAGCAGAGCTTTTGATACGGTCTCCCACAGTATTCTTGCCGGCAAGTTAAAGAACTATGGGCTGGATGAATGGACTGTAAGGTGGATAGAAAGCTGGCTAGATTGTCGGGCTCAACGGGTAGTGATCAACGGCTCCATGTCTAGTTGGCAGCCGGTTTCAAGCGGAGTGCCCCAAGGGTTGGTCCTGGGGCCAGTTTTGTTCAATATCTTCATTAATGATCTGGAGGATGGCGTGGACTGCACTCTCAGCAAGTTTGCAGATGACACTAAACTAGGAGGAGTGGTAAATACACTGGAGGGTAGGGATAGGATACAGAGGGATGTAGACAAATTAGAGGATTGGGCCAAAAGAAACCTGATGAGGTTCAACAAGGACAAGTGCAGAGTCCTGCACTTAGGATGGAAGAATCCCATTCACTGTTACAGACTAGGGACCGAGTGGCTAGGCAGCAGTTCTGTAGAAAAGGACCTAAGGGTTACAGTGGATGAGCAGCTGGATATGAGTCAACAGTGTGCCCTTGTTGCCAAGAAGGCTAACGGCATTTTGGGCTGTATAAGTAGGGGCATTGCCAGCAGATCGAGGGATGTGATCGTTCCCCTCTATTCGACTTTGGTGAGGCCTCACCTGGAGTACTGTGTCCAGTTTTGGGCCCCACACTACAAGAAGGATGTGGAAAAATTGGAAAGAGTCCAGCAGAGGGCAACAAAAATGATTAGGGGGCTGGAGCACATGAGTTATGAGGAGAGGCTGAGGGAACTGGGATTGTTTAGTCTGCAGAAGAGAAGAATGAGGGGGGATTTGATAGCTGCTTTCAACTACCTGAAAGGGGGTTCCAAAGAGGATGGATCTAGACTGTTCTCAGTGGTGCCAGATGACAGAACAAGGAGTAATGGTTTCAAGTTGCAGTGCGGGAGGTTTAAGTTGGATATTAGGAATTAGGGGTCCCACTAGGAGTGTGGTGAAGCACTGGAATGGGTTACCTAGGGAGGTGGTGGAATCTCCTTCCTTAGAGGTTTTTAAGGTCAGGTTTGACAAAGCCCTGGCTGGGATGATTTAGTTGGGATTAGGTCCTGCTTTGAGCAGGGAGTTGGACTAGATGACCTCCTGAGGTCCCTTCCAACCCTGATATTCTATGATCACAGTGCTCCCTGCTGGCCTTAAAACCTACTACCATCTGCCTTATCTTTCTTGACTGTAGAAGCTGCCAGTCAAATGCTTGCTACAAATTTACCTCCAAAATTAATTATTAGGCCTGCACGGTAATAATTTCCTTCTGAGAATAAACACAGGTTGAGCCGAGTAAAATATCAGGAATAATTCAGTTGAAGTCAGTGGAGTTACACCAGAGTAAAAAAACAGTAGAAGGGAGCACAGAATCATACCTGGTAACGTTGGCTTATGTCCAAGCAGGGAACCCAATAGAGAAATATCAGTTTCATCTCACTTTACTGTTGAATTAAGTATCATATTGGATCAGAGGTGGGCAAACTACGGTCCGCGGGCCACATCCAGCCTGTGGGACCGTCCTGCCCGGCCCTTGAGCTCCCGGCCCCTCCCGCGCTGCCCCCCCCGCCCCCCGTAGCCATGCCGCCGCACAGGCCGAGCAGCGCGGCAGTGTGTCTGGCTCCGGCCGGGCGGTGCGGCTGCCAGACATGCTGCTCTGAGCGGCATGGTAAGGGGGCAAGGAGGTTGGATAAGGGGTGGGGGGTCTCAGGGGACAGGAAGCAGGGGGCGGTTGGATGGGGTGGAGGTTCTGGGGGGCAGTCAGGGGATTGGGAACATGGTGGGGGGTTGGATAAGTGTGGGAGTCTCAGGGGATGGGGGTGTGGATAGGGGTCAGGGGACGGGGAACGGGGGGAGGGGTTGGATAGATGTGTGGTCCCGGGGGCCTGTCAGGGGGTGAGGGTGTGGACAGGGATTGGGGCAGTCAGGGGACTGGGAGCACGGGGGTTGGATAAGTTGTGGGGTCCCGGGGGGCGGTTAGAGGTGGGGGGTCCCGGGAGGGGGCGGTTAGGGGTGGGGGTGGTCAGGGGACAAGGAGCAGTGTGGGGTTGGATGGGTTGGGGGTCTTGAGGGGGGCAGTCAGGGGGCAGGATGTGGAGGGGGTGGATAGGGGGCGGGGGACAGGCTGTTTGGGGAGGCACAGCCTTCCCTACATGGCCCTCCATCCAGTTTTGCAACCCCAATGTGGCCCTCGGGCCAAAAAGTTTGCCCACCCCTGTATTAGATGATAAGGAGGGAAAAACTTCATTGTTTTGTTTTGTATTTTCTCCAAACACTACAGCTTTTCATTAGTTGTTTTTTTCTCCCTGTGGTTTTGTGTTTTGGTTTGTTTTTCGGTTTTTTGTTGGTTTGAATTTTTTAGTAAATGCTATTTTTTTTCCCCAGCAGCTTATGACTTTTTCAACCAAATTCCTGATCTCAGATACTTAAAAAGCCATGGTCATCATCTTCTTATGCTTTTAAATTCTAAGATTATCTGCTTAGAAGTTATAAGCTATAATTTAGCTTCGAAGGGCCACATTCAGATGTGGTGCAAGAAAGTGTTGAACTTATACCGTATTCACACCAGGTCTAGCTTTCCTCCAAATATACATTTAAAAAATAAAACATGATGATGATGCTGAGACAAAATGGTAATTAAAGTCAATGGAACTAAACTAATTTATACCAAACGAGAATCCTGTCCAAAATAGGCACCGCTTTTTTGTCCCCCATACTGACTTTCCAAGACTAATCACACTGCCCAGATACTCTTAATTTCATCATTCATCAGAGGATGTTACAGGTAAGTGATCATAAGAAACAGGTGTGTTTCCCTGATGGCCAAGAGAATTTGCACTATGTGTTGGCTGTTTCTTTCCCAAGCATTATATTGATACAATACCACTACCATGCACCCAGTTTTAATTAGATATTTTATGGATGCTAAATCAGAGATCTCATTTAAGTTCTACATTTCATGTTACAGAGGTTAAAATACTATCGCACCCTTCAGTAGGGGAGCTGTAGTCACACATCATGCAAGCCATTTCATCTACTTAACTTTTCTATATTCTTCTCTATTTGTAGCTGGAGATCACGGGGGTTCTTCAGCGGCAGTAGATGTGGCAGTCATTGGAGGCAAGTATTAGACTGTATTTGAAAGTTTGATTAGAACAGCGTTTCTCAAACTGGGGTCCGTGGACCGCTGAGGGTCCATGAGGGTATTCTGGGGGTCCACCGGCCCCGCTGATCAACTCCACCTCTTCCCTCCCTTAACTCCTCCCCCTCCCTCCCAGTGCCTCCTGCATGCCGAGGAACAGCTTTTCAGCGGTGTGCAGGAGATGCTGGGAGGGAGGGGGAGAAGCGGGGACGAGGCGCGCTCGGGGGAGGGGGCAGAGAGGCAGGGAAGAGGTGGGGCAGGGGTGGGGCCTTGGGGGAAGAGGTGGAGTGGGGGTGGAGCCTGGGGCTGAGTGGGGGGTTTAGGGGTCCGTGAAAATTTTTAAATCAAAATGGGGTGTCCTCGGGTTGCTAAAGTTTGAGAACCTCTGCATTAGAAGGAAAGAAAACAGGGCTCTTGTCGTCTTATAAAATCCCATGCTTGGTCAGCCTTTTATAGACATTGTTGTGCAGATACTATGCGGTATTCAAAAATGAAATCAGAAAAGTCCCAATCCAGCAAAACCCTTAAGCACAGACTTAATTTGGATGTTTAATGCTTAATTTTAAATCTTCTGTAGTATTCACACGCGTAAAGTAAAACATGTGCTTAAATACATGGCTGAATTAGGGCCCCAGAGTGTGCGCGCGCTCTCGCTCTCTCTCAGGACACAGGGTGTTATTATGTTCTACAGAGTCACTCTCCACCCAGCAGGACTTGAAGGGTTAAATCTTCCAAGAAGCTTCAGCCCAGCCTCTAATTTTTTACCTGTGGCCAACCGAGGAGAAAAGCGATAGAATTTAGACATCTAACGGCCTGGGGCCTGATTCTGATCTCATTTATGCCAGGGGAAGCAGGAGTGACTCCCCATTGAGGTGAATGGAGTTACACCAGTGTGAGACTGGCATGAGAGCAGAATTAGGACACTTAAATCCAACATTTGCACCGGCAATTACTTCACCTGCCATTGCCTGTGCGTAATTTATGACAGAGGTCACGTTTCAGGTGCAGAATTAGGGGGAATTTTAAATAGATGGCCATGCTTCCTGGGAAGGAATCAAATATTCCAGCATCTGCCTGGATGTTAGGGTTTCGATGCACGGGGGCTGTCCATATGTTAATGATAATGATAGCACCCCGCTCTTCTATAGCTAGACAAACTCAGACTGGCAATAAGGTGTGGATTTTTTACCAGTGAGAGTAATTAACCATTGGAACAATTTATCAAGGGTCGTGGTGGATCCTCCATCGCTGACAATTTTTAAATCGAGATGTTTTTCTAAAAGATCTGCTCTAGGGATTATGTCGGGGCAGTTCTCTGGCCTTTGTTATACAGATCAGACTAGATGATCGCAAAGGTCCCTTCTGGCCTTGTATTTGCTTCGGCACAATATGTGGGCAGAATTTCCACAGTCTTGAAGCGGGATGATGCCATTGAGCCGGCAATTCCCTGCTTGTGCTCCAGCACAACCTCACCTGTACCCCCAAATCCATCCCTGGGAAGCAGAGGAGGAGGTGGAAACGGTGATGTTTAGCCTTCCCCTGACCGGTATCTATATGTCTTTCACCGGCCCTGTGCATCTGGAAGGGATATGTATGGCCACGAGGCAACCATTTCCCTCTCTTGTCTCCGAAAGGAACTGCTCTATTACCGTCCACATCCATCTGTGTCTAGATTCCAGATCATGTCAGAACCTCAGTAATCGGCTCTTTGCTGAGTTACACACGTTATAGTCCCACAAATGAGGACGCTCGCCCCACAGCTCAACAAAGAACCAATAGTCGGGCACTCTGGTGAACTCTTACCTCATTGAGCCAGCTCATCGGCTGGTGTAAATCAGGGTAGCTTCATTGATTAGAGCTACGCCAATTTATACCAGCTGGTGATGTGGCCCGTTATTTTTACAAAATATACGGCAGCACATTTCCTAGAGTTCTATTCAAGCGCTCGCATACATTTAAACGAACTACAGTTGTCAAGCTAAATGAGCAAAGCACTGTACATGGAGAAATGTATTATCCTGGCCTTTTGATTTTCATTGTGTTTGTTCACTTCCTTGCTCACTCTCTCATTTCAGTAATTCACCAGGGGTATCCCAATCATTAGTGCAAATTAGAGAGGTTCTGATGTATTTCCCTCCGGTTCTAGCTCCTGTAACTTTAATTTCAGTTTCCTGCGAACCAGTGGAAGGTAAATTGAATTGTGCTTCGTCTCTTAGACTTATTAATACTGTGCCATATCTAAAGCCTATTAAAGCCCATTGTGTCAAGGGATACCAATGTAGTCCTAAAAAATTGAGAGAGCCTCTGGTGGAATCAAATTATTATTGTAACCTCAACTTCTTTACATGAGCAATTCTCTTTCTGAGAGCAGTACTTCAGTCACCATAAAAGCTGGAGGAGCTAGTTAACATAATTAGGTAGAACTAAAATGGTCTCCTGCCTTAGTCCTGGAAGTGTTGCCAAAATTCTCCCCTCACCATTGTTTTCATGCCAATAGTCTCGTATTACTCGCCCCCATTCTCATGTCCCTACAAGTGAGCTCAGGCTCACTCTGCAATGCTTATGCACTATATGTATCCTATGACTTTTTTAAAACAAACTTTGTATGAATGGATAATCTAAGCCAGGGGTAGGCAACCTATGGCACACGTGCCGAAGGTGGCACACGAGCTGATTTTCAGTGGCACTCACACTGCCCGGGTCCTGGTCACCGGTCCAGGGGGGCTCTGCATTTTAATTTAATTTTAAATGAAGCTTCTTAAACATTTTAAAAACCTTATTTACTTTACATACAACAATAGTTTAGTTATATATTATAGACTTATAGAAAGAGACCTTCTAAAAACGTTCAAATGTATTACCGGCACGCGAAATCTTAAATTAGAGTGAATAAATGAAGACTGGGCACACTACTTCTGAAAGGTTGCCGACCTCTGATCTAAGCACTATACCCAGATGTACAGACACTTTTCTCAACCTATATATTATAAAATATTTTAACATTAGCTTAAATAAAATTTGTAAGTATGACAGGGTCTCCCTCCCTCCCACCCCGAGTTAAGACAATCAATGCTGCGTATATCCTTATCTTAGGGCTACTTGGAGACTCAATGTGTGGCAAGTCAGCATGTAAATCTACAGCAGACTTGCTTGCCATGTACTAAGGGGCCACACACTAAAAATCGCATAGTACGCTTTGACATATTGCTGTTTGTCGTACTGCTGCAGTATATCAAAGAGCACTATGAAACTTATACTCCACGGTAGCAGGGCCCAGACAGGTTCTTAGTGTGTGGCAGATTTCCTCCCTGGCTTACCACATATTAAGTCTCTGTGTAGATATGACCTGATTGCTTGTCTAGCACAGTGGTCTCCAAAGTGGGGGGTGCGCAAGACGATCCATTGGGGAGCGCGGCAGGAGGAGCGCCGCCGGAGAGGGGGAAAAAAAGGGTGGCTGGAGGAGGGAGGGAATGAATGAGCAGGAAAGCTGCCCCCCCTCTCCCACAGGCAGGGCCACCCGGAATGCAGGGGCTTTAGGGGCTGCAGGGCCCTGGGCTAAGGGGGTCCCGGGACCCTGGCCTACAGCTCTAAAGCCCCTTTCGGAATGCGGCCCTGAGTCCTCCGGCCCGTGGAGGAGCAGGGGCAGCCACGCAGCCAGCGGCCGGAAAGAAGCGGCGCTTTCCCCTTCAAAACCGGCTGGAGAGAAGGAAAGCGCCGCTTTTCTCCGGTCGCTGGCTGTGCGGCTGCCCCTGCTCCTCCTGAGTCCTCCGGCCCGTGCTCGCAGGGCCGCATTCCGAAAGGGGCTTTAGAGTTGCAGGCCAGGGCCCCGGGGCCCCCTTAGCCCAGGGCCCTGCAGCCCCTAAAGCCCCTGCGTTCCGGGTGGCCCTGCCTGCCCAGGGGATGCAGCTCCCAGAATCGTGGCCATGGGGGCGGTGCCGCGCTGCGCAGAGCCACCTGCACACCCCTTGCACCAAACAGGAGCTGCCCCAGGTAAGTGTTCTGCACCTCCTGCCTGCCCCAGCCCTGAGCCGCCTCCCGCACCCCCACCCTGAGCGCCCTGCTGCACCCTAACTCCCTCCCAGACCCTGCACCCCCAGCGCCCTCCTGCACCCTAACTCCCTCCCAGACCTTGCAACCCCAGTGCCCTCCTGCACCCTAACTCCCGCCCAGACCCCGCACCCCCAGCGCCCTCCTGCACCCTAACCCTAATCCAGACCTTCCAATCGCTGTATCACAAAGTGTTAAACCAAGATTTTCAGAAATAATGAAGCATATTCAATCACATTGCTCTCACTAAAAAACATTATTAATAATATTTTTTTTGTGAGAGCAAAAAGGTTTTTTGTACCGTTAATAAATAAAATACAATCAAAATTATTTTAAAAATATTGTTCATCTTTATCTCATCCGTTTTTAATTTCTATTTTTTGGTATGTTTTATATTGTACATAATATATTAGTATAGTAGTACATGTATATAATTTATACATAAATAAATATACATATAGTGGGGGTGCATACTCAAAAATTTTTTACTGATAGGAGTGCGCGATCAAAAAAGTTTGGAGACCACTGGTCTAGCAGGACAGGCTTTTCTTGTGTTTGTTGTACAGATTTCATACAGCTCATTCATTGCGTACACAGTCTAAATATGGTTAAACATGGGCTTTGCATGGGGCGATGAGCACAGAAGTCAGGAGAGGCCAATTCCTGCCCCTTGCCTTGGATCTGGAATGTGGGACAGACACAGAGCCACGTGGGCTGCACCCTCTCTGCTTGGGAATTGCCCCGTGGGTCTGCATCGTTCATAGACCCGCTAAGCGTGCTTATGCCTTAGTATTGCCAACTCTCATGGTTTTGTTATGGACTTCTGTAATATTTAGCATATTCCCCCGTACTGAATACCCCCGGTTACATTATGTCCCGGTGTAAAATGTAGGCTGTATACGCTTGCTCACTAAGCAATTCAAACGGTTCTTCCCTCCCAGGTGTCATTGCAGCGGTGGCTATTGTCCTAATTTGCCTGTTGATCGTGATGCTCCGATACATGTACAGGCACAAGGGCACCTACCACACGAATGAAGCAAAGGGAACTGAATTTGCCGAAAGTGCAGACGCTGCGCTGAAAAATGACCCGGCTCTCCAGGAGGCTGTGCATGAGAGCAAAAAGGAGTATTTCATCTGAGAGCAAAGGGAAGCCACACTGAGACTGCCTTAGTCGTTCTTTCCCCCCAAGGGAATCGGTCAGAAATGCTACATCAACGAAAGCACTAAGATATGGATATGGCAAGGACAGAAGCAAGCATCCTAACTGAACTGCTACTCCCCCCCCCCCACTCCCCATGAAGAACGGAACACCAGATACCTGGCTGTTGATTTTATTAGCCACACAGCTGGTCACAGTTGAATTCAGTATCAGATCAGAAGTCAAAATCTCAGTCTGAACGATAAACCGATACCAGCTAATGATATCAAATGTCAAACCTTGACATTTGGTCAAAATAGCAGATGCCAATGGAAAACATCCTCTTAGCGTTAATGATGCCCCCTACATCGATATTATACAGAACTACCTGAAAATGCATTTTCAGTGGTAATAGAACAAGTGTTAAACCAGATAAAAGCGGAGGTTAGTGGAACAAAAATTGGTCTATAGTCCAGGATTCCTCCCCCCTTTAAATGTGCACTTTGCCAGGTGTGATTTTTTCCTTCCCAGCCCTCTTCCTTTCCTCCCCACTTTGTTTTTAAGTCAAGGACACGACACACACAAACCCTATAGGAAAAATATGGAACACTTAAGAGTGAAGGATTTTTAGCTAGCTCTGCATGGTGACTTGAGGAATGCAAAGTGTTAGAATTTACAGTATATAGTAGGTAATAGCCACTAGACTTAAGAAAACGATCCCAAATAGCTATTTGGCTCCTTTCATGCATACGTAAGTCAATAGTTATTGGCTAGTGCAGGCCTTCTGAAACAAATGCTCGCCACTAGATTTGGAATGAGAACTCTGGCCCTGGTGTTTATTTATTTATTTCACATTGGAGAATTCTTTCAAAAACCTGCTGACATTTGGGGGAATTGAGTCAGAACGCAGACATAAATAACAGTTAGAAATGTAACTGTAATGCTACCCTGGAGCAGTTTGTCCATTTGAATCCCATTCTGTTGTATTGATCTTTCTCTCTTTTGTGCCCCTCCCAGCTTTTAAATATATCTTGCTTTTCATGCAGCCTCAGATACAAAAAATTCCATTGAGCATCACCTCTTTAAAAAAATTAAATGGATGTGATCTGTAAAATGAAAGATCCTGTTCATCACATAATAATTCATTGTGATGAATTTCTTCACTACAGCAAGCTCTCTGTCTCACGGAAACCAACAGGTAGTCCTGGAAATAGGATTAATTGTCCTCTGCACCTGTTTATCACCAGCTAGGTTTATTAATTATCCCAAATGAGTGTGTGTGGGGGGGGGAGGGAACAATTAATAATAAATGTGCCTTCGATCAACTACCCTGTTTTAAATCAATAGTTTTCTATGTTTTCCTGTTTAAAAAATATTATAAAGAAACATCTATAATTGTGCTTTCACAACTTGGTGGCTTCATCTTCTCCAAAGATCTTCATTTTATGACACTGGCTCCTAGAGACCAGCTTAATTCACCAGCGTTGGCCATACAACTACTAGAGGAGACTAGATCTCCAGGAGAAAATACTTGAGGAATCAAGTAGATTTGGTGAAGGAAGGGGACAGTTTTGTCTCTTTAATTAAAGTCCTCAAGGCCGCTCAGTACCTACAGGAGCAGGATGTTGCAGGAGGAGAGTCCTAAAGATTGAATGTTGGCTAATCTTGAATCTTTGCACTGTATGCTTTTAACCAAAGAAAATCAAAACCATGCCAACTTACTAAAAGCTTGGGACCAAATTCCACAGACCATTGTACAGCCATATCATATACATCAGCCCACATGCTACTAAAATCCAATAGTCCAGCACTAACACAATTCAAATGTTATGGTGTTATGTACTTGATTTTTTTATTCGTGTTACCATTTGAATCCTTTCACCACTGCTTGTGAAATAGGAATAAACTTGTGTGATTGTTTTGGGTGGAGGAAATTGATTAATCTTAGCAGCGGGAGTACACTTCGGTGCCTGGATCCCCAGAAAAGTTGCTGGGGGGAGGAGAAGGAAAGGGACATCCTCTTCTTGAAGGTACAGAATTCACATATCTACTATGAAGTTAAATTCTTCATCGACCTAAAAAAATACATAAGCTTACGCCTTGGATAGGTTCAGGAATCCAGTCTGGAAACAATGTATACATTCCCTATGGATGTGAAGGTGGGTGGAACATACACCCCATGTCATACATGAGACCAGGGAACCCCTCCCCCCCGCAAAAAAAACAACCTTCCAGGAGGCCTAGTGGGCCAGGCCCTATTAAGCTTTTTCCTTAAAGCAAACTTCCTGAACCTTATATGCCCTTATTTCTACCTTGCATCTATCCAGTCCCACACCAGCCAGCTATGGCTGCTAAGAAGAACTTACTCAATAAAGGTTTGTTTGAAGCTTTTCTAGTGGCTGACTGGAACGGTAGTAAATTCTCATCTAAGCAGCCATCTTCTGGACGGACGCACAGCAGAAATGAGGTGGTGGTGGGAGGTCCACTGAGGTTGCAAGGAACAAATCGTTTTTCAAGGCTAGGGATTGTTACTAAGCTACTAAGGAACCATGGGATACCTGAACAGCTGCACAAAGTACCCCAGAGTGTGTTTTTATTTATTAATGGGGTGGATGGACCAAGCCAACCAAGTCTGAGAGTCATCTCCAGTTGTGGGACTGATGGCCATCAGGTAGCTGTTAGTCATAAAGGAGTGGGGTAAATTGGCTTCAATGGAGTTATGCTGATTTACATCAATTGAAAATCTGGCCCCGTATGTGACTATTTAGGCCCCAAATCTTTGGCTATGGCCCTCCTTAGTAGGTTACTTCATTTCTGTATGCCATTTTCCCCACATTCACGCAGCCAGCTGAACAATCCAAGTATACAATAACTACATCATCTACCGATCACCAATGAGCCTTTTAGAATATTTTAGAACAGTAACTTTGGCGCTAGTCATGTTTTCAGTTGTTGTTTTCTCAGTGTTCTTTCAAGTTCAGCGATTTTGACTCGCGCACCCAGAACAGAGAGCAGAGCAGGGATGTGAGGGGTTTTTTTGTTTGACTTTTTAGGAATCAAAGGTTGCTTTGTAAAGAAAGAGCAACATTTAACAGTATCATGAGACTGGCAGAGCTCTAAGGGCCCAATCGCTCATCCTCTACCCACACAATAGTCCCACTGTCTTCAATCAGTTTGGCCTTAAATCAGTGCATTACAAAATTCTCATAACTTTTAGGGCTAATTTGCAAAACTTCCCTCTCTGTAAGCCACATGCTGTGCTAAACAGAACACAGTTTGCAATATAGAGGTGCCTCGGCGGGTGGCTATAACTTTGGATCAAAAAGAGCTGATAGATTTTTTAAAATAGCACTAAAAGTTTTCAGTTAGTTACTTACTCCCATTATTCTGTAGCCACCAACTCAGGAAATAGGACACATTTTGTATGAGCAAATGCCAGCTATACATTTGGTATAGAGCTGGGTGGGAATTTTTTTGACAAAATGGTTTTCTGTCATAAAATGCCGCTTTGTCAAAACAAACTTTTTGTGGGAAAGGGTTGGTTTTAACAAAAAACTTTTGTTAGGAAGTTTTCTCGGGTCCGGGATGGAATTTCTGGTCCAAACCAGAGACACTCCAGAATACTCTGCTGCTTGAATTCACCTGGGTTCAAGTCCTTACTCCAAATCAGTCAGAGCACAGTCCTTCTGAACTTGAGTCTCACACACCTGAGCTGTGACTAAACCACCAGGCTATTCTGGGGCAGGGGAATCTAGTTCGCTTTCTTCTGGGTCCCCCCCCCCCCCAAAAATCAGAACCGTCTTGGTTTCATCCCAGTGCAAAATGGGAAATGTTTAGAAATCTCAAAAATTTCCACAGGATAGGAAAACCATTTCACGCCCAGCTCTAGTTTGGTACAGATACGCCTGGTGTAGTGCTCTATAATAACTGACAGTCATTGGTCCAGCAGGAACCACTTTGTACCTAACGCCTCTGTCCGGAAGCACCAGTCGGTCTTCAAAATGCATTTTCAGTGCCTTTGAAACTTTGCATCGAATCCTCAACTATTTGCTATTTTTCAAACTGATGCTGTTGTGGACGCATTAAGGCTTTTTTAAAAAATAAGATAATAGCTAGTGTTAAGAAATGAGGCTCATAACTTAATTCGAAAAACTTGTCTGGAAAGATTCCTGTTGATGTCAGTGGGCTTCAGATTGGGCCCTGGAGATTTAAACAGGTCTCATCGAAACACTGTGTTGTTTGTGAAGAAAAATAAAGCTATTTTCAAAATCCATCCTCTAGTCTAGATTAAAGTGAGTTACGTGGACATCTGTTGCTCTACTGGATTTACATGGCACCAACACCTGATTTTATACTAGTGCAGGGGTAGGCAACCTATGGCACGCATGCCGAAGGCAGCACGCAAGCTGATTTTCAGTGGCACTCACACCGCCCAGGTCCTGGCCACCAGTCCGGGGGGCTCTGCATTTTAATTTAATTTGAAATGAAGCTTCTTAAACATTTTATAAACCTTATTTACTTTACATACAACAATAGTTTAGTTATATATCATAGACTTACAGAAAGAGACCTTCTAAAAATGTTAAAATGTCTTACTGGCATGCGAAACCTTAAATTAGAGTGAATAAATGAAGACTCGGCACACCACTTCTGAAAGGTTGCTGACCCCTGTACTAGTGTTTAGTCTAGGGCTGTGCAAACATTACAAGTGCTTAGCTACAATGGTGTAACCCCATTACCAGCAGTGGCATTACACCGGTGCTACTGAGAACAAAATTTTCCATATAAGCATTCAGTCCAACTAGTGGCCCTGCCTTCCCCGGTTGATGGGAATGCTTACCTAAGCATTTCCAGATGCCAACCACTATCGGTGCCAATGTGGGACAATCTGCCAGCATTTTGTCACTGAAGCTGTGCCCTACCCTTTCATTACATAGTTCATGTTCCCAGCACCTTGGCCCACTTTCATCAGTGAACGTGAGGGAGTAACAACCGAGATGAATGCATCCCATTCTCTTTCTAGGCAGTTGGTCAATTTCTGCCACATCTCCCGCCCCGTGCAATTCTATCGACTTCAATCTGGCCAAATAGACACACAAGCCCAGAGATGCCTTCTGAGGCAAAATCATTAGGAGGAGAATGCAAAGCAGACTGTCTCCAGCCAGGGACAAAGCCTGTGACATTTTCCTGTCCAGTACCTGGGAGCCGGAGGACTCACAAAAGGTTCCAGAATCCAGGTGTTAATAGCTGCAGTACTAAATGCCAGCGGAGCTGCCTCAGGACAGACAAAGGAAGAATTTCATCTGTACCCTATTTTGACTCATGTATCATCCACTGCTGTAAAGTGAGTGTGAATGGCAGTTTTGTGTCTATTTATCCCTACCCAATCTCCAGTGTCACCAGCCTCCAGTGTAGAAGGGCACCATTGGGTCATCTTTTGGCCATTTTCTTCATTCCTTTATCTAGTTTCAAATAAACGTGGCAAATTATACTTAGGGCCAGACTGATCTGTGGTGCTGGCCAAACCGGATACAGGACACTGGACCAGACAGTTCACAGACAGTATGGCAATTCCTATGTTCCAGATGGGCTTAGTGTGTAGTGTTATGGGTTCGGTGACGAAGTTGTTGGGTTCTTCCATAGTCTTGAAGTTCTATGGCTTGTGTTATACAGGAGGTTGGACTAGTTGATACCAACCGTCCCTTCTGGCCTCAAAATCTATGAATTTAAATCCACCATTATTCTACCAATTTCAACAGTTACTTGGGATTACACCAGAGTAGCCGGAGCAGAATTTGGTCTGTGGCATAAACAAGGCTGGAAAGTCTTTGTATTGTAGATTCAGAAATAATGCTCACTGGATCCTGCTTGTGCTTCTCCATGTGAGATAACTGTGAATTGCTTGTCAGAGTCACTTAATCACATTTACCCTATTAGCTATATTTTTTATCATAGTGGAGTGAAAACTGCAAGCTTGCCAAAAGCGGGAGATCCGTCATCGCTTAAATACCACCCTGCCATTTACATTCGAAAACGAAAACCTGCTGCTGCTTAGATCTTTTCATCTTTCATTACGGACCCTGAATTTGATTTCTGTGCAATTTAGCTCTGTTTTAATGGTATATCTGCAAGCGTCTCTGGGACCAACCCTGCAGCCTGTCACTCTCGATTAGGCTGTGTATTTTTATGGCAACATAGAGAAACATCTGGCCACATTTGCTCTCACTCACTCCTGATTTACACAGCTTGGCACTCCATTAACTTCAGGGTCTCCATTGACTTAATGGAGTTCCTCTGAATTTACCAGTGGTTAAAATAGATTTTAAAAAGGAGGGGGAACCAGCCAAGAACGAGCTCTCTCTATACTCACAGTACCAAGCCAGGGATACGGCCTATTGTCTTCTTGCTGGTACCAAGCACCCAAGATACCTGTGCATATCCCAGACTGCTGAATGAGATCAACGAGGAAGCAGATGAATGTCCAACCTTATGCAGCTTTCTTCATTCAGAAGCCTGGACTTCTGGAGTGTTAATTAACTGCATGACCATGGAACATGTGGGCAAACATTGCATAGATAGTCTTGAATGGCTGGCATAAATAGTATATTTTTTCCCAACACACCTCCCCCTCCTTCAAAACAAACTGCAAAGAATAAATAAATTACGAAGGGCCCAGATCCTCAGTGGATGTAAATCAGTATCGCTCCAATGACTTCTGTAGACTTGCGTTGATTTACACATGCTGAGGATCTTGCTCAATAATGTCAAGGTCTTATAAAACAAACAATGATAAATCACCTTTGTGTCTTTCTTCAGGGCTGGTGCTGGCACCCATCACCACAATATCTAAGGTTTTGTCTTCACTGCATTGTTAGCTCAAGCTATAATAACTCAAGTTAACCCCTTAACCAACTCCTGTCTACACACACAAACCTCTAGCTTGAGTTCAATGGTGCTTTAAGCTGGAACTAGCTGGCCCGTCCGGCAGGATGGATTGACCCTTGAGTGCTGCCGCTGATGAGGTGGGAATGCAGCATCTTCATTTACAACTACTCATCAAGTGCCAATCCAGTGACTCTGTGCCACTAATCCCAGCCCTCCGCCTATTCTGAGTGTTGTTTCCCAATGTGGTGACTCTCCCTCGCTCTAGTCTAGCATAGGTGGAATAACTTGAGTGCAATAACGAAGACCAGCCCTCCGAGCTGAAATGGGTATATATGCAGAACCATACGTACTAAAATGTACTCCTAAGCTTATATCCCCCTTACAGGAGAGCTCAGGTCACTGACAATAGACATTTCATTTATTTACTCACAGGAAAATCTAGTGAAGTAAGTTTACACAGAAAAAAACAAACAGCTATCTGAATCCCAGCTAGCTCGCGGGAATAAACAGCTCTGTGTTCAGTTAGCATGAACCCATCACCTTTCACCCACAGCAATAAGGTTTCATTAGCGCTGTGTGTTTCAAACAGAACATGTTGCAGATCCTTAGAGGGAAGTGTTATCATATTAAAAAAAGAGTTAAGGGCCCAGTCCTTCAACCCTTCCAGGTTCCCCTTGACTTCAGTATTAATTTGCATGGATGAAAAAAATTGGGAAGCTGAGAGCAATGAGTATGAATTGACAGGAAACACAGACAATTGATAAGAAAAGCTAAAGGTATCAATGAAAAATCTATGTCCAGTAGGGTTAAGGACAATGAAAAATAATTCTTTAATCATATTACGAGCAAATGAAATCCAAACAATGCTGTAGGTCCAATACTAGTAAAGGATAGTAAAAAAGTGTCAATCATGATGGAGAAAAGGAAGAAGTATTAAATAAATATTTCTGTTCCGTATTTGAAAAGAAGCAGAATGATATATTCATGTCTTATAGTGATAGAGAAATACTTTCTATTCCATTAATATCTAGAGAGGATGTTAACCAGCAACTACTCAAATTAAATGTTTTTAAATCAGCAGGACCAAGTAACTTGCACCCAAGACAATTAAAAGCATTGGCCAAGGAACTCTGGGAACACTCAGGAAACTCAAGAAGACTGGGAAAAGTTAATGTTATGCCAATATTTAGGAAAGCTAAAGAGGATGACTTGGTAACTATAGGCTGGTTAGCCTGACATCAATCAAAATGCTGCTATGGGATGCAATCAGTAAAGAATTAAAGGTGTTAGCATAATTAATGCCAGTCAAGATGGTTTTATGGAAAACAAGTCTTGTCAAGCAAATACTACTGTGTTCCGATAACATTACAAGTACGATTGATGAAGGTAACTTTGATGACATAATATGCTTTGACTTCTGCAAGGCATTTGCCCTAGTCCCATATGACATTTTGATTAAAAACAAAATAGCACTATACAAAATGATTGTAGCCCATATTAAATGGATTAAAAACTGGTTAACGGATAGATTACAAAAAATAATTGTAAATGGGGAATCATCATTCTATGGGAGTGTTTCTAGTGGAGTCCCAGAGGGATCCGTCCCTGGCCAGAATTTCACCCATTCTGTTTATTATTCTTGGGGAAGTGAATTATAGTCCTTATATAGCTCAGTACGAATACACTAAATCAAAGGATAAACCTTTATAACTGTTGTATCAACCGGGCAAGGTACTAACAAACTTCAACAGGACTTGATTTTTAAAGTGGAAACCTCTTTACCAAGCTGCTGGTAACTCTCACTCAGCCTCCTCAACTCCTCCCCCCTCCTTCCTGTTCCCTGTCCTTTCAGACTCCCAACAGCCGGTGCTCCCAGTTCTAATAATTACAAGCAGCA